GAACCTAAGACCGTATCAATGACTGTAACACTGCAGAATGAAAGATTCCAGTATTTTACAGAACAGTGTCTATATAAGTATGAAGGAATAGATTAAAGATTGGTAGTGTTGTGTCATTCAAAGTTCAGGTGTTTGTGAAGCAGAAGACTCTTTACTTCATATGGAAGTCTGGCTTGCAACCACCAGACTTAAAAAAATAAGTAGCTAAAGATGGACTTTTATACCTTAAAACAAACAAGTTACTACAACACATTCTGAACAAATGATAAGACAACAACACATGCCAATTAATTAGATATAAGTTGCAGACTAGACAACAGTTAGTTCTTTTCATTTTCTGGGCGTACAGCCAGCTTACCAAATACATGTCCTTTATCTTACTGACCAAGGACAGGCAGCATCTTTATATCTTTGGGCAGAAAGCTAACTTCAAGACACTAGACTGCATAGTTTACAAAAATACTAAAACAAGAAATTAGATTATCTCACTTCCCAGGTGTCTCTCTTATCTCTTCAGTAGATATAATAATAAACTTTATAGAGCACCTTTCATACAAATAGGAGCTCAAAGTGCTTTACAAACCAAGTGTAAAAATATAATCTTAAAATTAAGAGATATATTTTTAGTTGTAAAGGCAAACACGGTAATACAGTAAAGCAAAATAAATGTCAATTTTTTCTTGAAAAAGAAATAAAAATGAGGAAATTCATAATAAAATAAGAACAATAAAAAAGATACAAAGAACAAATAACCATTTTAACTAAAGGCTAAATTCAAAAGATACGTTTTCAAATGTTTTTTAAAACAATGTACCGAGCTTGACTGCCTAATAAAAAGTGGTAGAGGGTTCCAGAAGGGCAGTAGTTGCAGGTCTCAGGTCACATATATGAACATATAAAGACAGACATTCAATAAGGTACACAGGTGCTAGACCATTTAGAGTGTTAAAAACAAGTAAAAGAACTTTAAAATCTATCCTAGATAATACAGGTAACCAGTGAAGTTCTTTCAGAACAGGAGTGATACAGTATGTGTTCCCTTTCTTGTTTTTGTTGCTGCTGCATTTTGAACAAGTTTTAAGGGATTTATCGTTTTCTTGGGAAGCCCACTAAACAGAGCATTACAATAATCGATTCTACTGGTAACAAATGCATGGACACATTTTTCTGCACCGCCCTGGGATAAAAAAGGCCTAATTTTCGCAATGTTTCTTAAATGATAGAATGCAACTTTAGTAACCCTATTTATGTGAGGGACAAAACAAAGATCAGAATCTAGTTTCATGCTTCAGATTTAACACATGAAGCAAAAGAGCCCAATTAATCCTCCAAGAGTTCTTTCTGAATTTTAGTGCCCAATATCTTATCTTGATTGAACTGTAGAAAATTTTGGGACATCCACTGAGAAATATCCAACACACAGCCGGTTAGTCTGTTGACAGAGTTTTGATCTTCAGATGGAATAGAGATATACAGTTGTATATCATCGGCATAGCTTTATGAAAATTGATCCCATGGTTCCTAATTACATTACCTAAAGGTAACATATAT